AAAAACTCGTCCCACGTACGGTTCGGAGGCCGAGCCCCACCCTAACAGTAATGGTGCGGCTTAGGTCAACTAACATGAAGAAGATACAGTTCACTCAACGATTGCCTTTGGGTTCCGAACTCCGTATGGGGAAGGAGCGTTGTTGTTTGCGAGGTCTCGATCATTTACATGGACCCACTTCTCATTCCATTTGTGGGAATTTGATGATCTATAAACCGTCCCTAACGAACGATTGGCTCATGTTTGAGCATGATGAATCACTTCGTGCCGACCTGTTGCCAATCCACTTTCCGGCCTCATATGAGAATGGAAAACTTGATCATTTTCTGCATCGGTGGATGAAGAATCGCGAACATAAGAATCTCTGGTTGACCATGTTCCCAGAAAAAAGATACTCTCGAGAAACGACGAGCACGACTGAAGTGGCTATACATACAAATCCATTTACGGATCCATATGCTCCGATTGTAACTGGAAGTTCCGGAAGAGGCGGCTGGTATACCACCATAATGAAACTGCCTTTTCTTTTTTGCATTTGGATAGGATTTCTGTTGGCTTCGTTGGGAGGCTCGCGTAGTTTGTTACGTCAGCTCCAAAAGGAGAAGTTGCATTGGAATCGAGAAAGTTCCGTTGAGTTCATAATTGCATTAAATAAGTAGTGGCTGCGGCGCGTCGAGGCACTTCTTGGTCCCCGTCCGTCGAAAGAGACAGAATGGGCGGGCACTACTAACCAAGCCAAGCCTAGTTCTCGCCGATAGGCGCTGGGAGCCTTACGGCTTCCAAGCCTTGCCTTATAAAGATATGAGTTGTGGCAATGAGGTAGGCCCGAAGGAGCCTCAAGCACTTGTACAATGCTCAAGGCTCTGGGCTGAGTAAGTAGCAGGAGCCACTTTTTGTTATGGGCCGGGCCCTCTTTTCTTGCCACCGCGTCAATTGCGCTGAAGAAGATTGAACTGAGCCAAAACCGAGCACTAAACACTTTCCGACTCCTCCAATGAATTGGTATGGCTATCGAAATCGTGAGCATCAGCATGTAGGTTAAAGATCCAAGTGCTAGTAGCCGCTATCACTTTGATTTTTCAAAAGAAAAAAACGAAGATCTTCTTTTTAAGATAGCAAGCTATAGGTATCGGCTGTCCTTTAGTTTCGCCAATTCGAGGTTCTAACCAGGGACCTTAGACAAGGTAATTCCGTACTGGTTACCTTACGGCAGTACCTAATTCCTCCTTTAAAGAATCCGAAGGTTCCTTATTGAAAGTAGACCGGGTAGTGCTACCTTAGACTATGGCTATCCGACTACGCCTTAGTCTAGAGTCAAGTAATTAGTGAACCAAAGAGAGATAGTATGGTTTTGTCTTTTCTTTCCTATCTCCCATCTATCTATTTTCCTTAGTTATTCTTAGTTATTCACTAGAGTAATTATTATATGGAAGTCAATCCGGGGCAAGTGTTCGGATCGTTCGTTCTTCACTCTCTTTCTATTACCCATAGGAAGCGCAGCGACCAAGGTTCATATTATCATATAGAAACAAACGAAGCGTAACAATTCGTACTACCTAGGAAAAGTCTCGCTAACCAATAGAGGTAGGCAATTGAGTAAGCCGATATGCGTAAGCAAGCGTAGCGAATCACATAGATAAGTAGCAGCCCCTACCTGCTAGCGTGCGGCGCGCTTCCAATAGATAGGGCGCAGCGTGAAGGGATGGATGTCTGAGCGGTTGAAAGAGTCGGTCTTGAAAATCGAAGTATTGATAGGAATATCGGGGGTTCGAATCCCTCTCCATCCACGAGGTCATAAGTGATCTCTAGCGTTCTCTATAGATAAGAACGAATCGGATTGACTCGACTGATATGATGGGGGTAGACGGTTGATGTTCTGGTGACCTAGCCGTATCTCGCAGTTGGAACAAGCACAGGGGGCCGACCTTATCTTCCCTTCCTCCCACTGAACTTCCACTCCATCCTCCCATCCTTGCAGCACAGCACAGGTTGGTTGCTCTATCACAACGAGAGGTCTGCTACCACTTTCTTAAGTAAGGACGCTCCCACCACACCACAACATAGAGATTCTTCTTTAGTTTAGGCTGAGCAAAGCAAAACGGGCTGCACGACAATCGAGAATCTGAGTCATCACACCTTTCCCCTTTGCGGCATTGCATTGTTGTCGGGTTTTCAACAACCAACAAATCACGCACCTTATGGGGGGCCTCACTGCCCACCTACAACAAGGTCGGGTTAACAGCCGGCCGGGCTTGATTTTCACAGACCAACTACTTGCGGACGGAGAACAAAAGGATTTCCTAACCAACTTCGAACTGCAAGCGAACCTGTGGCTTTAAGCTAGCTAAAAAAGACGCTATTAGGCAAGCCAAGTCTTTTCAAAGGCAGCAAGCGTAATGGCAGCTCGAAAGTCGTTCTCTTCGCTGGCTCGAAAGCAAGAAGCATAAGCAGCATATGGGAGAGCACGCTAGCGCGAAAGCCTAAGCGACTTTCTTGCTGGGCTAGCCGCTAACGTGCATCCGTTTTCTTGCAAGAAGCATAAGCAGCATAAGCATAAGCAGCTTGGGTAAGCAGCATAAGCAGCTTAGGGAGAGCACGCTAGCGCGAAAGCCTAAGCTGCTTTCTTGCTCGGTAAGCAACAAAGAGAGAGCGCGCTAGCTCGAAAGCCTTTGTGGCTTTCTTGCTGGAGCGTGCGGCGCACGAAAGCCTAAGCGGCTTTCTAGCTCGAGAGAGCGTGCGGCACGCGAGAGCCGTTGCGGCTTTCTTGCTGGGAAAGAGAATTGATCCCACGCATATCCATAGCGTACACATAGCCGACTAGGGCAAAGTTTCCTGCAGTCGAGGTTGGTCGTAGATCAAGTTTTTCTTCTTCGCATGCTGCTTTTCAGCCTACTCTTGCACCCCTTTATTAGTAAGGTTGCAGCTTCATCCGGCTATTGCTAGTAAGTTCAATAGCAAGCCCTTTCTTACTTCTTTTAAGGAGGCTAAAGGTATCACTACTAGTCGGTCAGGCAAGGAAGGCATGCCCCCCAACCTAAAGCAAGCACCCCACCACCGTCAGACGTTGAACTCGGGTTGTTAATGCCGAGCTTAATTATCCCAAAAAGGAAGAGCAGCAAGCCGAGCTGCCTTAGCTGCTAGAACTAGGAAGGCAACTGGAGCAACTAGTCTTACCCATTTCGCCCCTACCTCTTAAAGGCCACTCCACTAAATCAATTCTTTAATTAGTAGTCGTATCCATAAGCACGAATACCTTCGTTTAAGATAAGATGAATGGAGTCACTTTCAGTATCTTTCTCTCCAACTTGATTCTATAGGGCTTCGCTTCCGAGGGTTAGGATCAACAAGCAACGAAGTGAGCACAACTTAGAAAGCCGTTGCTCTAATGCCTCGTGTAGTATACTGAACTCGCTCGTTAGCGCATCCGTTTTCTTGCAGGTCGATTGGGCTTTTGCTTCCTTAGCTAGTCCTATCTTTCCCTCTTCTCTTCTGAAATATAGACGGTCCCATGCGCTTCTATTGCTGCTTGGCCCCTTTCACGAGTGTTTGAGGAAGTAGCTGAAAAGTCAAGCCGTAGCTTGCACGTTCCACTCCCAAAGCCAGCAGCTTTAACTGCAGGAATCCCAGCAGTAGGAATAACAGCTACGCGCCGAGCTACCACTAATTGAAGGTGCGAGATCGGCTGCAAAAGGGAGATTTGGACAACCCGTAGAGTCTTGTCTTCAAGCCCAAGGCGAATGCCGCAGGCGATTGAGGATCAAGCCTTCCAAGTCTGCCCAACCTCCAGCGGCCCCCCGACCTGCCAATTAAAGATACTCCCAACAAAGCTGCTAATGCCCGTCAGTCCTACTTATATCTATTTTTAAACGGCTAATGCAAGGCAACTAGTCTTGTCAGAAAGCCAAGGGAAGACGTTACAATTTAGCTACAAGTCCGAAGGCGATGGAAGGCAAAGGCAAGGATTAAGGTATACGAAGGCGCTTTACTAGATAGGGCAAGCAAAAGCAAGGCAGAAGCTACTAGCCAACTCGAGCTACTAAGGAAGCCGAAAGCGAATACCTTTGCTCAAGCAAGACAAGCACACCTAGCAAGCCCTTACCTTATATTATACCAACTTAGAGCTTTAGAGCCAACTAGAGCGGCGAAAGGCAGAAGAGGATTAACACGACTTAGCTACTTGTCTGAAAGCGGAAATAGAAGAGGTTTTAATATTTGGTAAAGCTAGAAAGCAATCGACAGAGGCACATCATACGGGTCTGAAAGAAGTTTAGCCTGTCAAGGTAATGTCAAAAAAGGTATTTCTATAAAACGTATTTCTATAAAACAGGCCTCGGGAAAGGGCTAAAATCACCATTGAAATGACTTCTTTAGTCAATCCACAATGAATATGCCTTTGTACTCTTCATTCAAGAGAAAAGGGAAGGGCGAAGTTGCTTCTGTTGGGAAGCCCTTTTGATCTAAGCCAGGCTCTTCAATAGGTTGAGTGACCATCTCGGAGGGAGAGTAGACCAGAGAGAGGTGAGACTAATCATTTAGTTCGCCCCGAAGAGTGCTTTTCTATTATTCCCGTGACTCGCTACGTATTCCTTTCACTGGGCAAGCTCCATCGCTCTTAATACTATGACAAGGCTCGCTTATGGCTCACTACCGTCGCTCTAGTAGTCCATCTTATTCAGAATTCCTTATTCCTCTTTCTTTTTGTTGATGGTGCGTTGGAAGGGACGAAAGGAGCTAGTGAGCAATGACCTTCAAGGGGAATAGGCTTGCTTCTTCCTAGCGATCGGGTGGTCCTCCCTCTTCCATAGATGTCGTGCGAAGGGATAGAGCTAATGGATACCTATTCCGTTCTCCGCGGAAGCTGCTAAAAAGAGTTCAAATGGTGATTCCTGCTACTGAAAAAAGTCCATACCATGGGATTCAAACAAAGATTAATCGAATACAATTTATATTGATTGAAAGCTTTCCTATTACTGATGGCAGGCGGGCCGGGTGGCTTCCTTTCCCGATTGAAAACTGTTTCGGTGGAGGGGACGAAGGAGATCCAGTTTACGGTTCCTTTGATTGCAGGCATAGAATAGGAATAGATAGGGCGGAGTCTGGTTTGCTTCCTTTAGATTAGCGGACCAATTTAACTGCTTGCACCTGATTCAAGGGATGGGCGCCTAACCCACTACTAAAAAGAAAAGCCCTTTACTTGAATTGAATTAGATTTTTCCCCCTTTCTTCCAACTGTCCTAACACTTTCCGAATCTTCTTTGGTCGAGCTACTTTAGTGGAATAGAACTTCGCTTTACTCTTCCGACTAATGGGCTCGAAGGGCAACCTACTTTCTTTCCTTGTTGGAGTTTGACTCTTCGCGAAGGAGGAAGACCTAAAAACCTCTACAGAGAAATGAATTCCACTATCAGAGCCAATAGAAATTTTCCCAGAAGACCAACAAGCGCAAGACCCCCCCTTTTGGTTAAGCAGCTGTCAAACCGCTTTCGTTGTCCAACCGCTTTCCTTCAACTCCATTTTCTTAGGTGGCTAAAGCAGCAAGGAGTGTTATTGGTCCAACTCGTATTAGCTATCGAGAGCCGTACTTACCTTCCCGCTCGCCACAAGTAATCGCTACAGAAAGCACCATAGGCACAGTAATCGGAACAACAACTGGTCTTTTCTCACTCTCCCTATAGTCAAGACGGACGTAGGGAGTATTATGACCAGCTTCACTGACATCTGCTTTCGTCTCTCGTCCTTCTCCCGCTATGCTTCCTAGTAGGTATGATGCCCAGCAACAAGCGCACAAGCAGGACTAGGCTTATTGGTCTACTGGTTGTAGCAACAGGAGCTGGAGTAGGTCGTCGAAGAGTCTACTACTAGCACTCGTATGTATATAGCTATCGTCGCGCATATTTGCTGTAACTCCCCTCTAGTTAGCAAGCAAGACCTTCTCGAGCTGCCTGGCACAAGAGCAAGCGTTGTACTCCATCAGCACCCATCCCTGCCACCCGCCACAGAAAGAGCTACACAAGCATAGTAACCTTCAAGGGGAATTCGCGAGCCCAGTGAGTTAAAAAGGAAAGAAAGTCCTCGAGAAGGGATTAATGGATCGTTGCACTTGCTACTCATATTGGTGGAAAATGAAGAAAATCAGATCTCACTCGCAAGATGCTATTGAAAAACTGCTTGAAACTATTCCCTTTGACGATTGAATAAACCTTTATGGTCCCATATTGAGTACTTCCTGAACTGAGAAAAACGATTTTCATGGTCACTAACACCGAGTTCAGTCCCTCACGGGTTAAAGCTTAAGCTGGCGACTCATAGGCCCAACTTGTAATTCTTGTTTTCCTCTCCTACAATAAGGGCTTAACAGCGCCTACATATAAGGTTGTGCGCCTATGTTTTTCTTTTTAAAGGGAGTTCCCTGTTCGCTATCCGATAGTCTGGCCAGCTTCCGTAGCTTTCCT